CTGTATAATTATTTTTCTTTAAATTTATTGAATAGTTAATACAAATGGTTGGTCATATAATTTAAATATTCATGTATCATGTGTATGGCTCTTGTGAGCCTTAAAAATACACATAATTACGGAAGCTATACACATATGTGATAATAGATCGATTTGAAGGCTCCTAAAATCATAGCTCACTGGAGGTTTTCAAGGTAAACAATTCGAAGGCTATTTGCAATGTCACGTTGATTGACTCAGAGGGGTCAGTGAACTTATTTCGTGTGGTTCTAAGTAAGTAATTGCGAAAATAATTATGCAATTAAAAGTCCAAATTTGGGTCCATTATAGCTCATAAGTGGCCAGGCTAGTCTAATATAAAATGCGATGTATCATTGCAGTAGGAATTATCTTTGAAATATTTAGCTATTTTTTATACGTAGCCTATCCACGCGATCAGGCAGAATTGTGAGCGAGAAGCTAAGCAGCAGGAGTGTCAAATCTCCCCTTTCCTAAAAAAGGACTCTATACTTAAAGTAGGTCTGGTGGGCTTGGCGACTCCCGGGAATATCGGGAAAACAATCCAAATGTGGTGTTGAATTCACTAAAAGCACCAGCTTTTAGTGGAAAAAGCTGGTGCTTTTAGTGAATTTATAAGATACTGATCTTCTTTTTTATTTATCTTGGTTTAAATTATTTACTTTAAGGTAAACGTCTCTCTTCGTCTACAATAATAAAAAATAGGGGTTGATCGTAGAGGGATGAAAATTTAAGGTTGTATGTATTTTTTAATGCCAGATAACAAAAACATAAAAAATATTTTTTTTTTGCGATGGACACGCCTTATCACTGAGGGGTTTGAAATATAAACAGTAGCCGATTCTCTGACTTACTGAATATGCATAAAAAATTCATAAGAATCGGTCGAGCCGTTTCGGAGGAGTATGGAAACGAACATTGTGACACGAGAATTTTATATATTAGGTGCAAAAAATGTATTAAGCTTGGCGTCGCGTCAATTCGAGTATATGTGACGTAGTGTATTTGTCTATTTATATAATACACAATAAAGACATTCAAATAACCTACCAATAAAACTGTGAATATGTATCGAAGATATTAACCACTGAGAGGTCTTAAGAACATTAAAAACGCGTAAAAAAATTAAAAAGTGTAGGCGAAGGACAATGATTGTTCGCAAAAGCACAAAAAATAACAGCCTTTGATTAAATGAATCATATCTAAAAAGTACTTTTGATTACGTCATCTTAACAGGATAGTGGTACGTTATATTTAATGGTATCAAAAGTGAAGTCCCGTAATCTCCAGTCCATCCAGCAGGATTTTATGCGTCAGTTTCACGCTTTTAGATATATATTCATCGAATTATTATTATAAAACCCCACCCTGGGTTAATTAAACAGCTAAAAGTACCTCAGAATTATAAACTGCGAATACCCAGAGATTGTTTAATGTAAACCAGAAGATTTGTTTGTGGCGAGTAGTTTAACTGGTTTTCGTTACGTGGAAATACATCGGGAAAACTTTTGTTTATGTTAAAGTCAATCTAACTAAAAAAAGGACATTAATGAGCTTTATATGGAGTATACAGTACGCCTGTTCATAAGTAGAAGATAAAAAGCTTAAATAAATTTGTTTTTCAATCTTCTAATGGATAATTGAACTATATTTCGGCAAATATACTTATAAAGAAAATGAAAATAACAATCAACAGTTCTAGTAAAAGACATTAGTAATTTATTGAGAAGAGCAATGACCCTGCCATATATTGTTTTGAGTCGTCTTTTCCTCTCCTATACGTATAATAATATGTACAAATTCTGTTATTATGTGTCTTACTATTATGTACATTCAAAATTTTACCACAGCTATAGATATTTTTACTTGTTGTACACATGTCGCTACTTAAATTTTAATGTTCACGTTTTAAGTGGTCATAACATAGAATATTAAAAATAAAACGCAATTATTAGCTGTACTTTTAACGTTTTTTATCAGTAACCTATTTTTTACGCACGATATACGAATATCTAAAAATAAAAGCAATTCAGTTTAACTTAAAATTTATTTAACTAACAGATTAAATCTATGTATATTAGTTTTTTATTATACTGTGGACTTCTCTATAAATATCGCATTTAAGGATATATTCCCGTTCAACAGCATATTTTATAGTAGCCAAACGGTATTTTTATGTAAATTCTTTTAAGCACTAAGGTGTCAAACGGGGCCCAGAATGGATCCCATAGAAAGTTTGAAAAAAAAATATTATTAGGTAAGCCTTGCGAGTAACAACACATCGCTGACTGCGATTGCAGAAAATCAGTCAGAACATCGAGTTATATTTATTTATATAAACTAAAATGTCTCAAGATCGCTGGAACTCGCGTCACCGCGCCTTAGTTAATAGACCAGTCAGTCAAGACAATTAATTCATAATAATTCCAAAAGTTTTCAAATTTTGATGTAAGGTCGGGAGTGGTATTAAAACAAACTATAAAATTTTGCAACCTGCTCTGCGGTCCGGAACATTGTTAAAAATAAGTTTTGGTCGTGAAAAAAATTCCAAAAGTTCTGCAAACTTGGGGAAGTTTTCGATATAATATTTCATATCACGTATAAAATTTGCAACCAACCTAAGTGTACGGAACATTTTTTGTTATTAAAAATTAATGTTTTTCTTTATTAAACTGAAGGAAAACGTTCCAAAAGTTCTGCAAATTTGACAGATATATCGAAAATAAAATAAATAACAAAAAATGTTCCGTACACTTAGGTTGGTTGCAAATTTTATACGTGATATGAAATATTATATCGAAAACTTCCCCAAGTTTGCAGAACTTTTGGAATTTTTTTCACGACCATACAGCAAAAATTAATTTAATTGCAATTTTAACAATGTTCCGGACTGCGGACAAGGTTGCAAAATGAGATTTATTGTCGTCCCAATGTACCATTCACTTGACCGAAGTTTGAAGACTTTTGGAATTATCATCAAATTTTCGATTTCGAATGTCTATAATGACTGGCCTATAATAACTAACTAGTAGGATGGCAGGGCTGGCAAAATTCCACGGGCCCACGACCCAAGAGGGCCCCTGCCCAAGAGATAATATGTTCTATGGATGAATGTGAAGTCTCCAATACGCATTGGGCTAGCGTGGGGACTACAGACCATTCCCTCTCGCCTAAGAGAGGAGGCCTATGGCCATTAGTGGGACATATGTACGTGTAATTGAGTACGCTGAAAATCTCGAAGTTTATTCAAATTAAACTGAGTTTTAAACGATTTTTACTGTTAGGGCCCCATCAAAAGAATTGCCTCGAAAGAAGATTTGCAAGGCATACAATGCTTTAATACTTTTCACGTTGAAACGAAAAGTGCACTATTAATTCCATTCAATGAACAAGGTATTCATTAATTCAGTTTTTCTCTTTGATTTCTCGTGAGTTATTCAACTTTCTTTCTACTTATTAGCAATTGAATTGTTTTCGTGTTCGCATCGATATTGTAGTTTTATGTGCTTTCATTAATTATTGATTTATAGATCATAGCAAGTCATAGTTAATTACTTTAATGCAATAAATTATTTAGGCAATGTCTGCAATTGGTCCAAAGAGACAATGTTACCGTTATATTTTTCTCTCGACCTTCCTTAACCTTGTTCATTAGTATGAAAACTAGTGCATTTTGAATATATTAAAACTTTATCTACACGGCCATGTTATAGTGCTAAGCCTAGATTGAGATAGTAAAACAATGAATACAGTGTTTACTGTATTCATTTTTTGCGCAATGGGACCGATTTGTTCGACACAAATAATCACGAAATGATTCGTGATTTTTATGTCCACACCTGACGCACGCAATCTTCTTAACTTATAGTTACAATTGCAGTAATAATAATAGCGTTTATTCAGATACATTTACATTTAAACAAATTGCCGTTTTAATCCTCTTCTAGTGTATCTGTCTGCCCTTTTTTGGCAAAGGCCTCCTTCAAATCCCGCCATTTCTCTCTGCCATGTACCACCTGATCTTTCTTTCATTTGGTCTGTCTATACTTTTCTTAGCGCCTAAATTTACAGCTTAGAACTCGCATTGCGCAATGTTACGTCTTCTCTGTGCTGCTCTACGGCGTAGAATCTTGGACGCTGACAGAGACTATGTCCAAAAAACTGGAAACGTTTGAGATCTGGGTTTATCGACGTATGCTTAAAATATCTTGGACAGACCGCATACGAAATACAACCGTGCTGGACAGAATGCAGAAGAACAAAGAAGTACTTATGACGGTTAAGAAAAGGAAACTTGAGTATTTCGGACATGTTTTACGCAACTCCAAAAAATATGAGCTCCTTCAACTAATCATACAAGGCAAAGTGGCAGGTAGAAGGAGACCTGGCCGCAGACGCACGTTCTGGTTGAAAAACTTGAGACAATGGTTTGGTCAAAGCACCAAGTCATTGTTTAGAAGCGCGGCATCCAAAATTAAAATAGCCATGATGATCGCCAACCTTCGCAAGGAGATGGCACTATAAGCAGAAGATACTTTTCTTCCCTATCGCACATCGTTCCATCGACCTTTAACACACCTGTAGCTTTGTACGCCGCGTTTTAGTGGGCGCACATTTTAATAATTGTAGTATACAACTATTGAAGAGCTTTCTTTTAATTACTATGCTTGTTTTCTTATTTTTAATGACTTCTTTAAGCGCCCAAAAGCTCTTCCATGCTTTTTCTATTCTTATGTCATAGATATTGTCTGACCGAGGTACGAGTATTCAGCTACGTACAGTACGTTCAATAATATTCTTATTTCCTTTCTGGAATTGGTCATTAGTTTGGATTTCACGGCATTCATTCTTAGACCGACAATCCTACTACTCCGAGTCAAGGTATGTGACCATCTTCTCCAGTTCATAGCGTGTTGAGGCAAATAGAATCAGATCGTCTGCAAACCTTAAGTGGTGCAATCTTTCGCGGTATTTATCCCAACTTAGCTTTGAATATTACCTCCAGAACGGCCAAAAACAGCTTTGGTGACAGTTGCAATACCTAATGTAAAATAGTGAAAGAAATATTTCATGTGATAGTAGTGGTGATACTTTATAACATCGGCTTCGCCCTGGATTTGAACCCAAACCCTGTCGATCTGCATTCGATCCTGCTTACTACGAAACCCCTGAGACGGCCGTACTGGTTACTAATTATCATATTAATGTAGAAATGTTGATAATAAAGTGGTAGTCAGAGCAATAATTATCTACTACAAAATCAAAAATATAAGGGTTAATTTAGAAATAGTAACAAGAATTTTAACAATCTTTATAAAACTCTTGAATTTTGCAGGATGACTCTTAATTATACGTATATTGTAAACAACTTCCACATCCTTTTGACATTAAACATAATTGCAAAATTAATGTCCTTCAATCATGAATGCATTCAATTTTTTAACTTATAAAATTATCTCGTCTCAGTAGTTGCTATGCTCCTGATATCGCTGTGAAGCAGTGGTAACAATATGATCGGCATTTGTTTGTATGTAATTATTAATCGGCATTGATAAAGTTATTCATATTTTATAAAAATTTCTTCCAAATGAGGGCAGCATAATGGTAAGACTTAAACCTTTAGCTTGTGTTTGAAGTTTTTTATGATATTTTAGTTCTATACGCGCAATTAAGACTGGTCCATACATCGAGAGTATACCGAAAAAAACATATTCTTTTTTTTTAAATTAAATAGACAGAAAATGATCTGCTCCATTTGACATACATCTGTTTATAAGAAATACATTATTGTTATGTCAACTTATTTAGTTTTGTTAAATATTGTTCAATGAACTTAGCTTCAGACATCTTCAGAGAGTCGCAGTTAACAGCTAGCTAATTGTAAACTTACTGTATTTTTATTGGGGCTCTTTTCATTTTCAATTATAATATCAGGCCGAGGAGATTTAGGAGACGTTGGTGTACCGAAAACCATCTCCACATCGTTCAAATCAACTTTTGATTTCGGCGCGTCTTTTTGATTGTTATTCTCCATTTTAATCACTATACCACGACACGACACTACCTAATTCTTTAATTTATTAAAGAATTATGCACTAAAACACGTCTGCCTCGTCGCGGGCGTTGAATATAACTAAATAATAAAGCTAAAGTCATCGCACCAGTTAATGAGTGATCTCTAAAAATACCGGTATCTGTGGTGTAAATGTGCTATGTACACTTGGAAACGACAGTCGCCGTCGGAACACCCCGAAAAATGGCTTTTCCTATTACGTTTTCTTAGAAAATTAAATGCGTTCTTGAACCCTGACTGTAAAAATCTTCGGTGAAAATCATATTTGTATGGAAGACTATGCACTTTTGGTGCTCAGAGTTGGGTTATCACCCATAATTTTGCCTTAATAAAAAACACACATACATATTGTAGCTAGCAAACATGCAAAAAGCGATTGATTAAAATGTGTAGAACTCGCCGATAAGACAATATTTAAAAAAGTTATGTGTTATTACATTAACATATAAAAAGATATTGTTATATGTATGTATAATTTTCTTAACAATATGTAATTAATTAAATTTTATTTTCTCTAGATATACAATAACAACTGCACATAAGGAAACATTTTATATACCTAAGGGGTAATAATGGTAATGGTTGGTGGAATCAGTTTTCGTACTTAGACGCTCATTAGGTCCGTTGTGCCTAAGGGGTTTAAAGCCAGCAAACAACTATATGCACACTATTTCTAATAATGTATGCAAAAATGCATTGCGTCAGTTACAGCAAGATTATGAACATTAAGAAAACAAGTTATAGGCGCTAAAGGGAAAACCGACGCGAAACCGGTGTGAACTGAGTAGGAAGTAGTCCTCACAACGTCATAATATGTGACGTCTGTTACAAGATTTGGTTCATAAAAGTGTGTCTACGCATTTACGCACTATACAGCAAGTCTTTTTTTGTCTTTTTCTTTTTATAGTATAGGGGGCAAGGCGGGAGGCTTATCTGATGTTAAGTGATACCGCCGCCCACGGACACTTAATGTCAGAGGGCTCGAAAGAGCGTTGCCTTTTAGGAATTGGTACTGTCTTATCTTGAAGTACACTTAGTCGAATTGGTTCGGAAATACTTCAATGGGCAGCTGTGGTGGTGGTGGGCGGCAAAAAGTGCCTTAAAAAGCGCTCAGTTGTGGAGCGACGGAGGACGTCGAGATGTTTGATGATGATTTCGTATACTGCCTCGACATCCGATGATGAAACTCAGCTGCATGTTAAATGCAGTATAAGATGTAGAAAGACCCCACATCTCTACACAAGCTTTTAGAGGTTAATTTCTTCGTCCTGTAATATCAGTTTTTCAATCACCACCTAAGTTTAAGAAAATTGAACAGGAACATTACAAAACAAATGTTAAAACGTTGTATATTATGCATACACACATAAGGTTGTAGCGTTATAATTATAGCATATTACTTAAAATCAAGCTGAAATAGATCAGAGCGCAGTGGAAGCGTGCTGGACCTATAACCTAGAAGTAAGTGGATCGAAACCACGCTCTGCTACAAAATAATTATGTACCACAAAGAACGGTTAAGAATCGACCGTCAATACACAATTTATACTAAAATAATAAGTACTGAGTACATACCTCGTTACGATATATCTTTAACAAGAGGAAAGGCACACAATTGTCAGTCGTAAGGCTATGGAATATATTAGTTTGGGAACAATAAGAGAGGTTAGACTGATAATTTACAGGTCCCTTGCCTTACAAGTTCACTAAACGCAAAAAACACTCACTACAGAATTATGAAATTGAGGATGTAACTATTAACAAATATAACCAACAAAAAGGTAAAAATATAAAAATCCAAAAAAAAAGTGACGATCGGCCGAGTTAAAATATTTTGGACCATCAAAATTTATTAAACTAAAATTATGTATTTCAAACATAATTTATAATCATTTATTAATGTAGGAAACATGAAAAAAATTTAAATACGTTTACGTTTAACACGTTTCAAATCAAGGACGTAGAACGGACGACATAAACTGGCAGTGAACTCTCTGCCACACCATTTAAACGCCAATTTTGGATAACAGGTTTAACAGGATTGTTAGTAGCTGCAACCATTACACCCTGCTCCACAATACATGGAGTAAATGACAATTTTATAACAAAAACGGTTGGTTCTTGATTACCAGTTTTCCCGGAAATTTCCATTTTCCGGGAATGCAATTTAAAATAAGGAAAAACGTGTTTGCGTGACTGATTGTGCTTATACTATATATATTGTGCTACAAGTTGCAACTTCACTGGAAGTTAAATCCTTTTTATTTTTTTAATAGTATTGTTTTTTCTCAAACTAATGGATGTACCAATGTATCGCGTTTTATCCAAGTTATTTTATGTATATATGTCGGAGCATGGCGCTGGTGTCAGCTGCCATCACAGTTAAATTAGTTCAAAACCTTTAATACGAATAGTTTATTTGATTTGTCAATGTTGCTAGATTTATAACAATAATGACTCTATAGTCATTATTAGATATTATTTAAAGTAATTTATCATAACTTTAAACATTTGAAACTTAATGAAAATCAATATCAAAGTAATCTCTGACACTCGAACTGCCGCTTGACTCTGTTGTCGATTCGGATTCGGTCGTGGAACGAGTACACGAAACTTGTTTTTACAAATTCGGGTCGTTATAATTACAGGAACTAGTTGGTGCGGCCCTCTTGCCAAAATTACCTTTAGTTCGTAATTCGCTGACTCCAGTGAGCTTCCGTCCTGTCCCTCAGACGATTGACCACCCCACGGCCCAAGCCGAGCTCCATGTCTCGCAGGAGACTAGTTGCGGGAAAACGCTCTCCAAAACAGCCCAAGCTGAGCTGTAAAGACAACATCTCGTTGTTGGCATAAGGGCCATGATTAAAAAGAAATGCGGCCCTCAGTTGGGTTGAGCGGTCGAACCAAACAGAAGCCTTTAAAAAGTTGACTCTAATGTCGAAATAATAATCGGCTGACTAACTATTTATGACGTCGACGTAGTATTTCTGACGATATATATGATTGAATGAAACAAAGATATAGATTATTTCTTTCATTTTTTTCTTAAAGTACACAAAATCATTTCTTATAGTATACGTTATAATCTATTTATTCTAAAATACATGACAATTACGGAAAACATAACAGAACATCTAAAATTCGTAATATTAGCGCGTTTAACCAATTCAAAAGGGCATTATAGATATCAGAATGAGCCTAATAGACTAAAATTGGGACGGCTGATGGTGACGTGTATCTCGTTCGTATATACATATTAAGTAAATAAAAATACACTTTTTGTAATGAGAAATAAAGTTTTTTAAACATTAATTTCTTATTTAAAAATACTTATTCGCTTAACAATGCGGATTAGGTACCTGATAGGCGCTTAACAACAGCGCTGATCATATTTTAAAATTGATCAGCGCTCTACATAATATATCTGCTTTAAATAAGTAGCTCTCTTTCTATTGTATTCGCTAAGAATTCAAATAAGAGGTGCCTAAACTCCTAGTTTAGTTTTTACAGATGGAATTTGGAAGATTCTCTTGATTTTGCACCTTTGGAACCACCCACCACTACGGGACCATTTAACAATTTAGGTATATAATAACGTAACATCGGCTAGAAACCTCCGATCGTACAATAACATCATGAGATGACATGACACAATGAGAGAATCTTTTACTAATGAATGCAAGGTGTCGAGTGAATGATCTGTGAATACTTTCAATGTGTTGCGAATGGACCCAATATAAGCCATTTCATATAATGCTATCGTATTCAATATGACTGCGCACTAGAGCGTTATACAAAATTGTTTTATTTTTACAGCCAAAACAAAAAAAATACAGATTGTAATCCGTTTAAGAAATCCAAGCATTCGGGCGGATGTGGTGACTTCTTCATTAAATTAAGATATAAACGTTGATTTTCAATTAATAAAAATACCCAAGTCATGAATCTCCTGGACCTCCTTCAATGGTACGCCGTCAAGCTGAACACAGTAACAAGAGGTTATTTCAGGTGTATTTAATATGAAAAAACGTGTTTATATTGAGGATCATACCATTTAATAAGCACCAATATTTTATACCATTAAGATCACTTTGACCAAGAGACATTTCTCGCGCCTGACATTAAAATATGTCATGCGCATACGTTATTGCTAATAACATAGCTTTACAAATCGGAGTCGAATAATTTCAGGAATTTAAATATATCAAGGCAAATAGCGTATAAATATAAGATTTTATATTTATCACTCTCGTAACTTTGCAAATTGTCAATGTCATAACGATAAATATCTATTTGAGGCTTTTCAGTATATTAATGAATATCAAAAGTTTTAATCAAATATAATCGGTATTATTTTATTATATTTTAATACTAACCTCAAACAAGTCTCAGTTGCGCAAGTGTTTTTATATTATTAAGGCTTTAAGATCTATAAGCGCCTTAAAGCGTGGTTTTGGTTAACAAAACATTGTACATTAAGTTTTCAACTAACAGTAATCGTACCTCTAATAAACCTCTTTGGTATAATATAGCCTGATCGAAGAGAGCTGAACGCCGGCTGTGTCAAATAAAGATATTGTGGTGAATCTGACGAGTGTCAGATGCAATCATTAACGATGTGTTAAGGCATTAAAGACATCACATAGAAGGCTATAGAAAAAATATCTATAAAATAGCTATGCAATGTGTCTGTCATGCCCAGTTCAGTTTTGGGACTGCATACAACAACAACTTGAAAAGCCTGATTATATATGTTTACGCCTTGTCTATAAGGAGTTTTTATTCTGCCAAATCAAAGATTTGACAAGAAGAGTGTCAACCACATTATGTTACAATTGCAGCAATCACTGTGCCTATTAAAATTAAATGAGTTATTTTCACGAAACCGAGATACAAAATTCGTCAAAATATTAGTCAGTGGTGTGACGCATAAACCAATGACTCTAAGTACAAACCGTTTATCTACTGATAAAATCATATCACCGCCATTATTTTTTATTCAGTCAATATTCACACTTCGACGCGAAGAGTCGTATTTAAATAAATTTGAATAACAAGAAACAAAAATGGGTTGCGGTGAATTCCTCGTTAAATATATTTTGTTTTTTGCAAATCTATTTTTTGCGGTAAGTTATTTTTTTAATATAGGTTAAGATAACGAATCTTATCAGTGTGATGTGTGCAGGCGCAAAGCCAAGAGAGCCTGCTAACAGTACTGTGGTAATGCTATGTACAATGTACATACAGATAATCTTAAATCTAAATTATTTATTACAATGTTTTAACAAGTAAGGTGTGTGTAAGTTGTTTTTATCATACATATTTTGAGAGAATGCATTATTTCAACAAATTTAGTCAAATTGTGTTCCTGCTTCATCTGGGAGGAAAGAGCGTTGTTTAATTACGAATATGTTGTAAATAGACTACTTAGGTTTTAGTAATAAGCGGTAAATGTTTGTTGACTACCCCACTGAGTGTGTATAGTTATTATATTACTATAGAGTATGTTAATAGGTTGTAACTATACAACAGGTAGTTGGATATATTGTGTGCTGTTATTTATGTAAACACGAGCGCATAATATCAATAAATGGAATTATGTTTCCTCTAATACATTAGTTTAACATACATGGTGTACGAGCCAAGGCTGTACATTTTGCTCACTCAGGCTTTTTTAGTTTTATAAGCGTGGCGATTTCCTAAATGGTCGGAGTTACGCCCCGAGAGTATAGCCAGACGCAGGCACTCTCTTTAACTGTTACACTGCATTCATTCGTTACATAGCAGTTAACATTTTATTATTTCGCTTATATTGTGTTGTTGTAGTGGTTAATATAGAGTAAAACTAAAATCTTCTATTATTTAGAGCACCTCGATGACACAGGAACCGTACACATGGAAAACAAATTGTATCGACGTACGATTAGAAAAGCTGTTACAAATTTCATATGCCTTCTGTTAACTAAATTTATTCAAGTTAGAATATAGGTTGTCTAAGGTATTTGTTTGATAATAAATTTACATTTTGAAATTTATATATTCATTACAAACCTACTAGAATATAACTGTTTTTTTATAATATTATACACTGTCACAATAAGAGGATAAACAATAAACAATCATTTCAATAAGAATATTAAATTATTAATCTATATTGTTAATTGCAACTAAAGTTTTTTAATTAATGCAACACATTAATATTTAATGAGTATCTTGTATAAGCAGGAAGTAACAAGTGTTATTCTATTATTTGTGTCTTAGTTTATGTGTCGAAAAGAAAAATCCATAACGAATAAAAATATATTTAAAAAAATACATATTATATGAATTCTTATGAATTCTGAAATACGTACTCAAGTCCTTAGTTTCTGAGAAATTGATAACAGATAACATATCAGATATGGCTTTTAGGGCGTTGATTATGTTCATATATATAGTGACCAATCAAATAATAAATAATACCAAATATTCATATTTACCCTAAATAGATAAATGTATTAAAAATAAAATTCAAATATGGGTAATTCATATTGCATGAAGAAAGAAGCATCCTTAATATATAAGACTACGGGATTGATGGACAATTTCAAAAATAAGAAAAAAAACAAACCAGTGACGTGTTACAAAAAATAAGAAAACTTAAATGGAAATGGACGGGACTAGATACCTAGATAGGGTATAATGAGGACTAACAAAGAAAAATGGACTAAGGATGTAATAGAGTGATATCCAAGGAAAAGAAAACGAGGAGATCAATAAAAATATTGGAGGACGATCTTACAAAAGGATGGAGAAGGTCTGCCAAGGATAGGGAGACGTGGAAACAATTGGGGGAGGTCTATGTCGACAGACAACCTGACCAAAGTGGTTGCTAATAAATTTATTAGATTTAAGAATACTACTGTTTTATAACAATAGCATGTAAGTTAAAAAGTTCAACGAATAAAGGGCTTTTATTATTATATTATTATTATTAATTCATATTGCACATAAACTTTTTTTTGAGAAAGAACTATTCTCATTACAAAAAAGCATGTATTTTATTTACATGAGAAACTTAACCCTTTACTGCATGATTTTTTGTTTTGGACCCAAAAAAATATATGTTACGTAAAAAAATAAATAAAAAGACACGTATTTTAACAAATTTCAATTTATCAAAAAATACGTAAGAAAATCAGGTTTTTCCACTTTGGTTTAAATGTGGCACAATGAGCAGAAATTGCAAAAAAAGGATTAGATAGTATGAAACAGCAGGAAACAATTCCTCTTCTCATTCAAGCATAAGTTGACTTGACATTTCCTGCATAGCACGTGGGATCTACCATTGCACTCAGGCACTTTGCAACGCTGCCTGGATGACCAGACAGGCAAGTGATCCAGCTGGTCAAGACGAACATCCTGAGATGGCATTATTGCAATAGCTCCTCTGGACTTCTTCTCTTGGATTACATTTTCGATAATATTGGAGGATGGCCGTCCGCGTTTGGCGACTGTGCTGGGCTTATTGGTCATAGTGAGGGCTTCCGCCACAGCTACTTTGAAATCGCTAAGGGGCAACCATGCATCAGCGTCAGCATTTCTGCGTCTATATAACAGCCAAGCATTGACTGTCGTCATATCTAAAAGATGAAAGAATATGCGGTGATAAAATTTTTGTGATCTGATCTGGATCCTGTAATAACCAAGAAGTGCATCTAACAGATCCACACCTCCCATATGACTGTTGTATGTCGTGACAGCCTTTGGACAGGGAACAGTTTGGTACACTTTTTCTTTTTTATTATAACGTCTCACTTCTGTCATAGGTTTGCTACCAACGTATGTCGATGCCAAGTTTACAACTCTGTTGTCATACCATGTTGTCACAGATATATCAACATTGTCCACGGTTGAAATTTTTTCAACTGTAGCACCCCGTCCTTTCTTTTTCAACTCCTTTTCGACTGGAACTTTATGTCCTGGAACGCGGTTGGCTTTGATTGTGCCCAGGGGCAAAATACCCTGTTTTGTTAAGTAAACTAAAAGTGGCAGTGATGTATACCAATTGTCAAAGAAAAGTCGGTAGTTCATGTTATGTGGAATGGTTCTTGCAAGCCGGACGACAACATTGCTTGAAGTGCTGATGTTCGGCAAATTGCCATCTACTGTTTCAGAAACATGAGCACCTGTGTATAGCTCAAAGTCGTAGCTGAAACCAGAACTGCCGCTCAAGACAAAGTTCTTGTATCCCCACTTATGTGGCTTTTTTGGGTTGTACTGCTTCATTGTAGACCTGCTTTTAGTTGGTATTATCTGTTCGTCGACGGCCATATATTCCTCTTTCGGAACAGTCAGTAGTCGTTCTCTAACTTGGACAAGAAATGGCCTGAGTTTATGGAGAGGATCATAGCCAACCTGACCTTTGGGAATTTGGGTTGAGTTATCATTGAAATGTAAGAAACGTTTAATTTCTTCAAAACGATTACAGGACATAAACGAATTCACTTTAGGGTGTCCTAATACCGAACTCCAGTAGTCTCTGGTCGAAGGCAGCTGAATAACTGACATCATCAGGCATATACCAACAAACTGTTCTATATCTGCACTGGTAACTATCATTAGCTTTTCGGGGCGTTTTTCCACTGCATATTTGAGTGTTTCTTGAGTAATGTAGAGAAACATATCATCGGTGAACAAATATTTGAAAAAATGAATAGGTGTCTCTAATTCCATTATATCAGCAGGCAAGCTGGTATTGCCTAAGAACTGAATTTCTGTTTCCGTTTTCTCTAAAAAACCGTCCCTCCATCTAGGTTTTGCGTTTCTGTTAGCACGTGAACTGGTACTGGGAAGTTCTGATAATGGAATGTCGTCATCCGTGTTAGAATCCGATTCAGGTATTATTATGGGTGGCCGATTCGTAGGCCGTTTTCTGTAGGTATCATCATCAGAAAGCTCTTCATCAGTGCTGCCGTTAGGAAATTTTTGAATGATGGTATGTACGCCTCCATAAAATTTTTTGGGTCCATTACTACAACAAACAAAAGGAATATTTCTGCATGTTGGCTCATATTTAGTCCAGACATAAAAATAACATTTTCACAGAGTAAAACCATAAAAAAACAGGAAACCTTACCTTGTCCAGATGAGTTACAATATTTCAGCAACGTTACGTATTTTTACTTATAGAAATTGCGATGATAACTATTTTTAAACTAATTTTGAAAAACACGTTCACGCGGAGCGCCGGTCGAAATATGTCCTTCTAACTTGCAACTAATTTTTAGTGCAGCTATTCACCCAGAGATGGTGTTGTTAGTATTTAGTATGGAAGCGTATGTACCGTTTATGATCCTTCTTGCAGAAAACGAAGATTTATTTATACAAATAGGGAAATATTGATCAAAGAACGGTGTGGATCATATTTGTACCAAAATGAAGTAAGGGGTTAATATGTATATACGAACGAGATACACGTCGCCACCGATTGTCCCAATTTTAGTTTACTAGGTTCATTCTGATATGTACATTTAATGCCCTTTTGAATGGGTTGAATATTACGAATTTTAGAGACATAGACTAAATAGACTTCTTCAAATAATTTGTATTTTGTACGCGGCTTCGGCAGGATAAGCAAAGTTGCTCGACGAGTATTGCGTGTAGTGGTGTGTTTGATTTTTTTAAACGATAAGCTTCTATGAATAGAGTTATTTAAATTTATTTTTTTGTAGTTTTAAGGTTTCTTGGTAGATTTTATTAGTCTGTGTTAAAAAGTTGTATGTAAATAGTTCTTTTATAAATTTATTTTGTAGTGTTTATATGATAGAAATTTTGTTTTTGCATGCCCCCCATATTTCAATTAGATGTATGAAATGTGGCTTGACTAAACAATTATAAATTAAATGACGTACAGATTGCGGAATCTAACTATTTTTAGATTTTAACTATGAACATACATAGTTAAAAAATAATATTTAGCAATATTATCTATTCCCTATTCTGTTCATGGCACGACTTCTTCTTTTCCTTTACATTCTCGCTCCCGCTGTATTAGCAAATCTTCTTTATTATTACTCGTATTGAGAATGGCGTCAGTATTGCCACATGAAAATTTTACAATACAATACATACACTTATTTTTTATACTCATGGTAAAACTCGAAGCGAGCAAGCATATTGCGATAAATAAAAAATCGTCGAAGTGTGGAATTTAATAGCAAAATTATGTTTTCAGCTGGCCGGTCTGGCCTTGATCGGCTTGGGTGTGGCCGTTGAACTTCAAATAAAAGAAATAACCAATGCGGTGGAAGCCAGCAATTTCCACATCGCACCAATTGCGGCGATCGTAGTTGGTAGCGTAGTATTTTTAATTGCTTTCTTTGGATGCTGCGGTGCGGTTAGAGAGAACAACTGCATGCTCATCACTGTAAGTATAACACTTTAAAGTAATTTCACATAAATACTAATTGTCTTCAAATAAAAGTGTAAAATTTTCCCGTAATTGTTATTGTTATGAGGTTTAAAAAGTAATCAAATCTAATTTATTTTTAATACGACATAGCTTACTGCAACTGATATATTGAAATCTAAAGAAAAAAATTCATCAACCTTTAGAAAGACCATGAAATCAACAAACAAAATGTATATATTATAATAATCATTTTTTATCAGTAACTATATACCTATAGTATATTTTCCAACATAAAAACATGCAGATATTATTTTTTTTCCTCTGAGATACCATTTTCAGTGTGGTCGTAAAAGTTTCTCTTGTCTCGTACCAGATGCCGTTTTTGCTCTGCAGTCGCTTCTTACTTCCTGAATTTTCCCATCAAACATTTTATATATATGTATATGAAATATACCATAAAACTTGCAGAAGATAATAATACTTTTAAGTACACCACCTGTGTTAGTGGCTTTCATTCTGGCCATAAATTTGAATGCACTTGTTCTTAAATTATTTCCAGTACTCTATATTCATGCTGATTTTGATGCTGCTGAAAGTGACGCTGGCTGTTCTGATCTTCGTTAACTTGGACAGCTACGTTAAGGAAATACCGCGTTGGCTCAACGAGGCTTTCTCCAGGGACCAAACTGCTTTTCACCAAATTGAGAAAACGGTATGTGCTCCATATACTAGTCACAAATTTTCAATGGAACGTTCTCTGTTTGCATGTATGTAAAAATTATACTCGTTTGAAATCAGTTTAAGATCAATCTTCTAACCCAAAATATTACTTGCCGGGAATCAAATAAAGCACTACTATATACATTATACACGTTTTAAATTTACGAAGGCTGACTTACAATTGAAGCTTTAAAAATAGATCTATTCAAGAGTCAAAATCATTTATATACACAATGTACACTTTTAAACGTCAAAAAAGAATATATATACATTAAATGCTTCTAATTTTACATTTACTGCCAGTTCTCAATTCAAGGGCGTAGAACGGAAGAGAAGAACTGGCAATAAACTCTCCGCCACTCTTTATAATCGCCAAGTTTTTTTGTTTTACACAATGTTTGGAAGGAGCTGCAAACATTACACAATGTTCCGCATGACATCTTAAGTAATCCATAATAATAAAATAAATTAAAAACAAAGATTTGTCTTCTATCAGCACGAGGCATGGTGAAATAGAAGCACGCATTTACATTCACGTACTTACACACTGTACAATTAGTTATATAGAAAGTATACTTTCAACTATCATCTTGAGTAATATGAAAAAAAAAATGTTTTACAGTTTAAATGCTGTGGTCCTACTGGACCTCTATCCTATGGCAACCTGGTACTTCCTGAGACCTGCTGCGCGTCAACCCCCTGCACTCCATTCAACTCTTATACCGGCTGCTCCACTCTTGTCGAGGACTTCTTCCAGACATTTGGAGTAGCTATTGGTGCTTTGGCCATTGCCGTTGTCGCAATTGAGGTAAGGGGCCTTGTTGAACTTTATAAATAAGTTTTTATTCTATAACATTCATATATTAATTATTTCACTATTTATTGCGCATTTTTATCAAGATGCATATTTTAATATATAACACACACGAGCATAAAAAAAAGTGTGTGTGTGTACTTATGTACACGAGTTGGAAGTAATACTTCTTTGCCGTAACAAGGTAAAAATATTATTACAAATTTTATCTTTTGCCTTATTCTACGTTTGTAGAAAAAACGACACTAACAATAGAAAAAAGGTATTTAATACATTGTAGTATTGTAACGCATTATCTAGTTAAATAAAGATTATTGAAATATCACAAAAAAATATTTCTACATAATTAATGGATTGGACATTTTTTATTTTAAAATGTTGACTATGCTAACTTCAGGGTGTCGGTTTTTGTGACGGTGTGCGCGCGCATCGTAAAAATTTACTCTCATCATTTTTCCCTAACGCGCCAAAAGAAGTATAACTTCAATAGAATAAAAAAACACAATTTCGGTTCTCGGTAAAACGATAACTGATTCAAGTCTGCTTTAAAGAAACGACTAACCGACATAAAACTATGTAGATAGAAGATTCAGAAATCATATTCTTCTTTTTGTTTCAGTTGGTGGCAATTGTTTTTGGTTTGTGCTTAGCTAACCATGCCCGAAACCAAAGCAGGAGGGCTCACTACTAAGTTATTGATTATAACTTAGTCTAAACATACAATAATTGTATGTTGTGGAAGCAATATCTTAAATTTTTCGGCAAGCACTCTGTAAATTGTATTAAGTACCAAGCAAAGGGTGCAATTATATTATATCTGTTGGAATAGGGATTTTTTACATGATAAGCTAGACATTAAATATTAAAAAGGAATTAAAGAATTTTATTGCTTGCTAAAAATGATTATATGTCATAAAAATCGTATCTATTTTTTAGTTTGATTTGTGTTAAGGGTTTAATTGTGGTTTCTGAGTGTAAACTAGTGTGACTTTTTTCCGCATGTAATCGTTCCACGCTATACACTTAAACCACACTGTTATAATTAATTAAGGATTATAATGTTTACTTCTATTAAATGATACTATAAGTAGATTAAAAATTAAAAAAAATATTTTCATAAGATTGCCGCCGTGACAATAAAACATCTACATTTGTAATTTTGTTAATAAATATAATATTTTACAATTTCTATGTTATTGAAGTGTCAAGTTTTAGGAGATGCATTGGATAGATTTAAAAATCAAATCTCAAACGAAATAGTAACTATCGTATGAAAAAACATATTTTGAACAAAAAAATTAATTTATGATTATGCATTGAATTAGAATGTTTCTTGATATATTACTTAATCTTGCAATCCCTTAAGTCCCAAGAATTTTCCGTATAAATAACAGCGCCTTATAATAAAAACTGAACAACTTCTATAAGAAGAAAAATTGCCCAAAATATCCTTTTTTTGGACATTGTTAGTGTGTTTTTATATTTTTAGACTATTCAATAAGCTAGCCAATTAATCTACAGTAAAAATATATTATGTATTGCAATTACTTTTGAATATATTTATTCCAAAACTCTTTTACTTTCTTCTATAATGGTATTTTCATTTCATATCATATCACCTTTTTGGTGTAGATGAAAAACTGCGTACAAGACAGCTGGCAAATATTTTATTTTTATTTTTGCTCTCAAACATCACATGTTAAAATGAGATCAACCGGATACTTATGAAAATATATGATTTAATGGAAATACACGCTTGAATGATTTGAGAACTTAAGAAGGCGTCGCGCTAACCAGATCCATGCAACTTCCACACAATCGAGTAGCACGCAATATCGCAGCACAACTCACGAGAGGACTCTTTGTATTGTAGAAGTTGCATCGGTCCGCAAACATAATTTTGTATATTATACACTATAATTATGTAGGAATAATGAAAATAATAATAATTAACACGAGACATGATTGACATCCGAGCAATTTTTGAAACTGTTCGACTTTTTCGACTGTTCGAGTTTTTGAAACTGGTTCATTCATGTGTCGAGGGCTGCCTCTACCCCAGTACCCTGTAACTTCTAAAAGCGGTGGTGATCTCGACTTCAATATTGAGTTTTCAAGTCAATTCAGGTAAATCATTTATTTCAAGCCTATTAAAAAGCTCTTTTTAAAGTCAAAATTACAAGTTAAAAATATTTAAAAAAAATGTCTAGTTGCCGTCTAGTTAATGTAGTTTCATATGGAAAATGGGCAAGAATGCCTACTCGTTTAAAATAGTTTTTTTAGTTCATTTATTAGTAATCTTACAGCTAATATACATATTATAAATAAAAACACTTACGGTCTTACTAATAAAGATTTATGCACATCGTATAAGCCTGTTATAAGAAAAAGGTTACTAATAATTCCTGAATTGACAAATTTGATGTATACGGCTGTTATAACAAGTGTCTGGTTTGTATGAAGACTTGTACAATGCTTATACAACGCAGATGCCTAGTTTAACGGGTGTATAAGACAAAAATAGCGTCATTTGATCTGATTTTTTAAAAGGTTCTTGGTAAAGGTTCAAGACGATGCTGCTGATTTACACATTTTATTGTGTGTGTGATGCAACACTGCGCATTCTGGATGTCGTGGCACGGTGGAGAGGCAGTACTCACGACAGCCGTATCTTCAGAGAAAGTCAACTCAGACAAAGAATGGAGAGTGGACAGTTCCAATGACGGCTTCTTGGCGATTCAGGTTATGCATTGACTCCATATTTTTTCAAACCAATTTTAAATCCGAGTTTACCACAAGAGGAGGAATACAATAGAACGGTGTTTTGGTTTTGGAAGCAACGATTTAAATGTCTTCTTCATGGCTTCTCAGTGTCATTAGAAAATACTAAATTATATATAGTAGCACTGGCAATCCTCCACAATATTGCTATTGATATGAAAGAAGACCTGGATGTTACGTATGATGACACTGAGAATGCTCCAGAAGATCCCAGCCAACCCTGACGCCCCCAAGCAATCAGGCTGGACAAGCTGCTAGAGCTGCTTTTATTGAAACATATTTTTAAGGCTGTTTTATTTACATAGGTGTGGATAGTTAAGGACGTGAATTAAATAAAAAGTTATATTTCATGTAAAACAGGGGTTTTATTTTATTTATAAGTATATAATTGTCCAGCCCATTCGTGAGCTTCGGCAAGTTGCTTCTGTTTGAGCTCATGTGTTTCAGCCATCTGCCTTAGTTTTGTTTCGTGCTCTTCCTGCAAACACTGGAAAACTGTCGTGTTGCGGAGTTTGGCACTTTCCACTATTTGAGATGCCTAAAAAAATTAATTATGATCGTTGAGGGCTTTTGAATGATATAGTTATTTTCTCTATCACATTAATACTAACCTCGCCCAACTTTTGTACTGCAGAACGCGGCTTTTTGTGTAGAATTCTAGTCCTCTTTGTCTGAGGTTTTAGAGTTTCTATTAGCTGCAAATAATAAAATGTTATTAGTGTATTAAGTAAATGTGTATATAATTGTTTTGTTTGATAAAATAAATACAACTTACATTAGAATTATGAGTTGTATCAGAATTATTAAATCAAACGTCAAAAAAACACGGCGGGTTGCCAGGGTAACAATAAATAAGGATCGTTTAGTTATTCTGTATTTGTACTACAAACAAAGTCAACGTCTTCCCGCCTCTTCAAATATTTTCTCACATCTTCTTTGGTGAGGTGGAAAATATCAATATCCTCATAATTAGTGTCATAGTTAGATAAAACTCGTAACATTGGCGAATTATGCAGGAATTCAAGTTCGTACGAGGCACATGGAACAATTGTGAGTATCTTGTCGCATACGATGGAGGGATTCTTAAAGAAATTAACGAGAGCAAATCTATCTATCCATCCATTAAAATATCAAAAATAATAGTATATGTGAAGACCATGTACCTAAAACAAAGCAGCAGATAACAATATTAATATGTAGATACACGGTGCTCACATATTTACAAATATTTGCAACTATAGATTTTACATTTATAAAAAAAGAAATCCTAGAAGAAATATTTTTTGTGCCCAAATTGATGTATCTTTGTTTTTAATTTATTTTTTTATTATTTATTACTTAAGATGTCATGTGCAAGTTGCAACATGGTGTTTATGGTTGAAGCTCCTTACAAACGTTGTGTAAAACAAAAAACTTGGCGTTAAAAAGAGTGGCGGAGAGTTTATTGCCAGTTCTTCTCTTCCGTTCTACGCCCTTGATTTGAGAACTGGCGGTAAATCTAAAATTAGAAGCATTTAATGTATATTTCTTTTTTAGCGTTCATAAGTGTACATTGTTGTAAGTTACGTATATGAATAAATGATTTTTGACTTTTGATTGATCGCTGATGATGTCGTTAACTTGGAATAGTGTGGAACAAATAACAGCAGGTTTTTATCTGCCTAATTTAAGACTAATAATTTAAAGGATATTTAACAAAAAGTTTCCAATACTTTGAGTATTATTTTTCCACTGTTTAGCACTTAAGACTAGACACACTTAAGGTAAAGTTGCCGTTCTAAATTTAGAATGGATGTGGTATCTTTAAATAGTGACTACAATAACGACGTCACTGACTGATTCATTATCTTATTGATCGCTTGTAAAGAGAGGATTGCAGTAATTTACATTTCAAGTGGTACTTACCCCTTGCTGATAAGAATCTCGATGTTAACGGGAATTTACACTACTTAATCTTGTTAGTGTGTCATTACAGTTTAAACGATCAAAATGTGTCTATGTTTGGGAAAATGTGTCGTCCGTTACTTTTTAGTCAGCATAAATTTGATATTTTTTGTAAGTTTTGATGATTCTTCTTATTTGTTAGTTTGCGTTGGTATAGTAATAAAGCCACCTTAATTCCATACTATAGAAATTACAAATTAAATTGGTTTTAGTTTTGTCATTATATTTAGTCTACGTTAGTTATTCTTATTTCCATAACTTCGTGTTCTGCAGTATGGACCCTACCTCAGGCCTCCTACTAAATTTTCTATTTTGATCTGTTCTTTGCTTCCTCCATCTATTTCTCCCCAGAAACCTCTACGATGTCCTCAGCCCATTGCTTTAGTAGTCTTCCCATGTATATTTTTTCCTGAAGGTTTGCATTGGTATAAATGTTAATAAATATACATTTTGTAATTTTTGAAGCATCTAAGGGCGTTGGATGCACATTAATACTAATGCAAAAAGTGAGCTATTCGTCACTTTGTGTTCCTATAATCAAGCCTTAATTGTGCACATAGAAAAATTCGTTGGTGTGATTCGAAGATACCACAGAATTTTCTCGCTTCTCGGCTACCACTAGTCTAAGCAAAATCAAAAATAATTTTAAAATTTCCATGACGCTTAGTACAGCACGGCACAAGACTATCCAGATTCAATAACTTATATGCTAAAGGATAAATGTTTCGGATACGCAAGCACAAATACCCATGACCCAGATTTGGCTTTGACAAATGAAAAGGACATAGAAAAGTGTTTTTCTCACATTTGGATTTACAGTAGAATCCTATAGTAAATAAAAAAAATTAAAAATAATATTAAACACACATAAATTCATAAGGCGTTTAAAAAAAGTGAGTGTGGTCAGTAATTTTGCGTGTTAAATTTGTAAAGTAAACCCTTTATGATAAATTCTTCAAGTATTTAAGTAATTTTAACATACAAATATTTTTTTATAGAAAATTTGTAGCACAGATGTACATAACAAAGAATTAACTATTTTTATGTATGTTTAAAAGTACGTTCTTATATACTAAAATGATTATGTTATCTTAAGTATACCTTCATTATCAAACCTCATACTCATATTACCCTATAGTCTAAGTTTATAATGTATTAACTACGATGCACCTGCTGAAACCCGTCTTTTAAAAAGCTTAATAATTATAACTTCACGGAGCGAATACAATTCACAACATCGATATAAAATATTTCTTCTAAAACTTTAAATTATTTAATTTTTTTTCAATTGAATGAAACATTACGAAGAAATCGCCACAGACCCAAAATATAATATATTTATTGTATTTAATCCTAAATATGTAAAGATAGTTGTGTATATTAATTAATAAATAATCAAGTTGTATACAGTTCATAGGTGCAGCCATCGCAATCGCCGGAGGCATCCTCCTCTACCAGTTGAGGACTAATTCACCTCTGGATGTACAGGACTATGATCTAGAAATTATACTTGTCATAGTTTTAGGATGTGTCATTGCATTCATCAGTGCCATGGGCTGGTGCGGAGCCTGTGCCGAGAAGAAAGTGCTACTATATATAGTAAGTAATATCGCTTGCCCCGGGGAACAAAGTCGTAAAAGCAGAATTTATATTTTTAGGAAAAATAAAAGAAGGTTATGCTACCATTACTACGATACTATGTACATACATATACAATTATATCAAATGAAAGCCATTTTTCCTTATTCGACGATTTAAACGTTGTTAGGTTATTTATTGTTAATAGTTAAAATATAACTAAATGTACATTACAGTAATTTAATTAAGTAGACTAAAGAGCAAAAGGGTTTCACGATTATTTTAATATTTAAACATAATTACGGACGACACAGTAACCGCATATTACGACGGTACCTACATTTTGACGAATATCTAGAACGTATTACCTCTTTTCCCGGAAATATGTATTATAACGTTGGTGAAGCAGGGATATATTATTACCACTATTTATTTGTTTTTAAGCGTTCGGTCGCTTTTATTATTATTTGGTAGAATTACAATCTAAACTAGAACTATCTTTATAATCGTGGTCAACGTGTCTCTTGCATAATAAATTAAAGAATAGTATGTCTGTAAATTGAATTTATAATCTGTGATATGTCGATATCTTACGATACCTTATTGTCCTTCATAAATACAATTTTGTAAACCTATTTTCAGTATTCCGGTATTGTGGTGGTCCTTGCAGCTCTACAGGTGTATGCAGTGGTAAAACTGCGAAGTGCAGATGTTATCTCTGAGGATAAGATTATTAATTCGCTGGAAAAAACCTTTAACGACACCAGTCAGCGAGAAACATTTCACGTTTTGGAGTCAACCGTAAGTGATCATTATGTAATTTGAATTCCGACAACTATTCAAAAAAACTTTACAGGTTTAAATACCTTTAAAATTTTAATACGAGTTTGTCCTTAAGAGCATGTCTATTCAATGAACAAACGCAACAATTTAGCTTTTCAAAGGAATTTAGTTCGTCACCACAATAACCACACACAATCTCAACAAAGTACGCTGAAACAGTCAAATACCTAGTATGTGAAGTATTATATACGCAGACTTATTAGTAACTTACAAATATCATTGCATTTAAAATTGCAGCTACGTTTATTACGTTCAGCCCTGCGATTCTGTAACTCACTTTTCGAACTCACACAGCGGATTTGGCATCGGCGGTCGCTCTCAAATCAGTCGTGAAGCAGTCATTTTATGATTTGGCATTCTAATAATCAATAAACTACAAGCTCACAATGCCAAATCATAAAATGACTGCTTCACGACTGATTTGAGAGCGACCGTCGATGCCAAATCCGCTGTGTGAGTTCGAAAAGTGAGTTACAGAATCGCAGGGCAGTGCTAAAACATACACCAACTTGGCAGTGCTGTTAAATCAATGCTCACTACTGTCATTTTATTTTATCCTCAACCATTATAAAAATAACTTTTACATCCTAAGTCACCAGATCATTAATCATCTTTTACTTTATACGAGTTATTCAAAAGAAAGGTGGTATAAAGTTAATAAATACAACGGCAACGTTAGAGGGGTGTTCATGTAAATGCATCTACTTTGTTGGGTTGCGTAAACACATAGTGGTTTACATAAATTTACATTTAACATAAAATAAACAAAAGTTAATATAAACAAAAATTCATAAATCAGATAAAGGACGATTTTATTCTGTTTTGTTTTTAATTTATTTTATTATTATTAATTACTTAAGATGTCATGTGGAACATGGTGTATTGGTTGCAAGTGTACATTGTGGTACCTATATGAATAAATGATTTTGAATTATCAACCTTTATTAATTCCTATTTCTACACTACAATGAAGGCGATCTCTAACTCTAGTTTAAATGCTGTGGACCAACTGGCCCTGAATCATACATCGGAGTGTATGACCAACTACCACCGTCATGCTGTGTCAATGCCACCATCATGCCAGATCTGGACAAACCCGTGATAGTGGACCAGATCGGCTCTAAGGCACTGTCGTGCTCGATTGATGACGCACACCTCGGATGTAGTACCGTTTTGATGGAATTCTTGAAAATGGTCGTACATTATCTGGGATTGGGATTCATCGTTGTTATTGCTGTTGAGGTTTGTCATTTTACATATATTTTCCTTAATTATTATCTAATACTGTCCCGGCAAACGTAGGAAACATTTTTAGTTCAATTAAAATAACTATTTACTATAATAAAAAATAGAGGTTGATCGTAGAGGGGTGAAATTACGGGTTATATATATTTTTTAATGTCACATAATAAAAAAATTAAAAAAATGTTGGGGTGGACACCCCTTGTCACTTAGGGGTTTGAAAGATTAGACTTACTGAATATGCATAAAAAAATTCATAATAATCTGTCGAGCCGTTTCGAGGAATATGGGAACGAACATTGTTACACGAGAATTTTATGTATCAGATGGATTTCGTAGATCTGCAAAATATAAAATTATGAATACAAATTATTTTGAAGAACAACTAAGGTAGCACATGTTACAATATACATATTGTTACAAATAAATAAACTTAAGTGGATGGGACACATGGCAAGAGGAACAGAAATTGGCTAGGCCTTTGCCAAAAAAGGGCAGACAGAAAGCTAAAAATAATGAGATATTCAAAATATTAATGTGATAAGTGTAGAAGCATCTGAAATAAAAGATTATTTTTATTATTATAGTACTAATTCACAAAAATAAGTTGAAATCAAAGTGTTCTGGCTACACACGCATATACACTTCTACTTGGACTACACAATTTGTATAGTATACAAGTATTTGACACAATTATTGAATTCTTAGAACTAATTAATACCAATTCGAACCAACTAAAGGCTTAATAATAGAACATTAAAAATAAACGTTGCATTTCTTGATGAAATTGAAATGCGACTTTGACATTTTCAGTTCTATAAAACCATATCTTAAAGCTGCCGTGGAGATAACGACTTATCCTTTGATTTTCTATAAATTTAATCTATTGACCTCTACTAGGTTTAATTCTAGCGACAACAATAATCTGTATCGGTTTGGAAAGTACAACAAAAAAAAGTACTAGTAGTAAGAATATGAATAAAACTGATTCATATATAAAACACAATAAATACGCTTTAATTATAATTAACTATTCTCTTTATTTTCAGTTACTTGCAATTGTCTTGGCATTATCGCTTTCCTGCTGCATTGCTCCAAAGACAGGTTAACAGCGAACATAATTTTAAGCAAATATTGTAAACATAAATATGGTTTTAATAAAAAATTTAACTGTGTCTACTATCTCTTAAAATATGTTTTCTAATAAACAGAAACAAAGACATCTTATAGCTCGGACTGGGGCCCGCGAAGTTTTCGCGTGAAATATAGTTAAATTTTTGCCCTGGCCTTAATGTCTGCCTGTAGTGACAGACTATCCAAGTTACTGGAACGAACTAACTACATTTATAGTGGAGTAAAGGCAGGATATTGTCCGGGCCCGTATTGTCTGAATTCTTCTTCTCATAACACTTGAAGCTGTGAAAGAGCTACTTTTCACAGATATCCACTGCTGTTTGTTTTCCCCAATAAAAAGGACAATCCAAAAAAAACAACAATAATCGCTTATAGCTAGAATTTTTGATGGATGATGAAATAACTTTAATTACAATAATAGGTGATGTCACGTAATAATAGGTTCGGAATTAATCGTATTTGTCATAATATACTTAAATAATATATAGAATTGTTTGTGATAACGATGCATCATCGGTCGAGTACTTAATATAAAAATGTATAGTACAATTCAAAATGTGTACATACAATATTCTTTTGTTATAACAAAGAGGAACTAGGTGACGAAAATGTGGCCTATAATCATTTTATTATCTTCTCAGTCGTATTCTTAATTGCTAAAGATAGTTTCACTGAATGGTACCTGCTACCGTGCTAGTGATATCTTTCCACTTTGATCGGTCTATAGTTTCCCTTTGCGCAGCAGTTATGGGGAGACCCGTGAGAATCGTGACTTGGTCACACCAGCGGATTGGCGATCTGCCCCGCAGCCTTTTGCCTTCCACCTTGCCGATGACAACCAGCTTGTCCAGGTTATCTGGTTCGCGACGAGTGATATGATCAGTAGTACTACAGAACTTGTACACTCGCTTCTACGGTAAAAGAAAACATCGGAGGCGAAAAAGGTGGTGGACAACGGCATGCATTAGACTAAAAAAAACAACACAGAAGACTGATTCTTTTAATAAAATTATCACGACTCAAATATCTGAAACCGAGACCTGGTCTGGTAATCTTTTTTCAAAACCTCAAATTTTTATTCAATTCAATTATTTATTAAAATAAATAAAGTAAATTTGATAAAAGTGTATAACGACTCTCTTCTTCTAATTAATTGGCGATATTTGTTTTAAAATAAGTGTTGTTTGCCATAGTCATTTTGTATGATGATTTGCTATTTAAAAAGAGTACCGAGAGTTTTTTATGCCGGTTTTTCTCTCGGCCTACACCCTCTGCCTTCATTGCCGATGAGTAGGGATGTCTACCGATTCAAATTTAATGGAATAAGTAATACCTGTATCTTGTATTCCATAATTAACATATTTTTTTTATTTCTTATACACTCGTTTTGTCCTTTCTCCCGAGTTAATACAATCGTTAGTTTTGTAGCCTAAGCCTTCTTTGAAAAATTTACTATGGCATACAAAATACTTTTCAATGTTAACCAATCATAAGTGCGTAAACATCTTGGTAAGATTTATTTATTTTATTAGTCTATGCATAATTTTGAAAAAAGACGATAACATTAGGAAATAAACTACAGCTTTACTGTCCACCACAACTTATCGGACGTCTAACAGTTTTTAAAACATATATATTACTCGTAATCAAACATACATTATTATTATATTACGTATCTTAGTACACACGGAATATTATGACTCAGATATCGAAACATCAATGCATAACAGTTTTTTTTATGTAACAGGCAAACGGGCTGGAGGCTCACCTGATGTTAAGTGGTGCCGCCGCCCATGGACCCTCACATTGCCAGAAGGCTCGCAAGTGTGTTGCCGGCCTTTTAAGAATTGGTACGCTCTTTTCTTGGACCCTTAGTCGAATTAGTTCGGAAATACTTCAGTGGGCAACTGGTTCGACATAGCGGTGGTGTGTGGCAAAAACTGCCTTGAAAAACGCTCAGTGGTACGACGGACGTCTTGGTGATACGGATGGTATTTGGTAACCGATGCAAGGAACCTGTTTTCGACAACAAATCGTATTCGAATACAGGATGTCTGTGTGGGGAACAATATTATTTACTTTTATGAATATAAAAATAAAAATCTCTTTTACACACACATTAAAATAAATATGTGTGTAAAATTAAGTTTTGTTTGTTTATGTAGTGATTTTTTAATTTAAATTTAATATTGTTTTTGTTAAATCATTATATAGCTAGATTCCAAGAAGTTTATTAAATTAAATAAATAGATTAGACAGGATAATTTAGTGTTATACGATTTTTACAATTTTCCGAATACATTTCCTGCCTATACTACGAACATAATCTTATCAAGGCTGATATCAGTTTTTCTGATAGCAAATCGATAAGTAACCGTATATATCTATTTTTGTAGAAAAAATTCAGATCAGTGAGAAACAATAAAAACGAAAAACATGTGTTTCATTGTAAAATACGTACTTTTAATCGCCAATTTCATATTTACAGTAAGTTCCGATCAATATATATTAATAATAATGCTTTAAGGTCTGCCCCATTCTTTATAGGGCTGAGCGCGTTTAAATACCTGTAAGGTGTATCTTCTTTGTGTGCTAACTAACATAAAAAAACACAATATTACATTATAAATATAAAATAATAGATATTACAAATAAATGAAAAATAGTTACCTGAGACTGGTCTTCTGTGTAATGTGGAACGGACAAACTTCTGTGTCTGTTTCATAGATCATTTTATAAAGACTAATTCATGTTCATTCAAAATGGTGATGGTTATGTACTATATGTGTTACCAGTTAAGTACCACAGATTTTTTTGTAATTAATATTGTCAAAAATATTTTTTACAGCTAGCAGGCTTAACCCTCTTAGGGCTAGGTATAGCTGCTCTAGTGAACACATCAGATTTATCCGGGGTCGCTACAACACCTCTAAATGCGATTGCTATATCCATCATCGTATTGGGAGCTGTCGTATTCTTTATAGCGTTCTTCGGATGCTGTGGGTCTATGAAAGAAAATAGATGCCTTCTCTTAACTGTGAGTTTCACTATTTATAAAAGAAAATAATTTTAATAACTTAATCTAGATCTGGTTGCGGTTATCATAAAAATCCATTATTGGTCAGATCATAAGATGTTTTTAAAAACCAATTTTTTTTTTCACTTTTGCCTATAGAAATACACATTGAATGCTCACAATCCAAAGTTTTATATTTTTGTAAAATACGCAGTCAACTATACTTTATAGTAATAAAAACCTATTTGACCATCAGGACAATAAATTTAATATTACAAGTTGTTAAACTTATTTGACTTTTATTGGACTTGATTGATTGCTTTTCGCAATCATATTATGGAATTTTCCATTATAAAAAGGCGGCTTTTTGTTAAGCATTGATCAGTAGATAATGTGGATACAATTATAGATAAGCACTATATTGATTCATTTAGAACAAAGTCCCTGTTACTAAAGAGGAAAGATTTGTACTTTTGTATGTTTGTAACGGGATAACCACAGACCAGATTCTAAAAATTATGTAACAATTAGAACCTCCTTTCTCCATTCCTCCAGAATCTCCATCTTCCATTAGAAGAATTCCTGAGCAACATAGGCTAAAATGATTTTAAAAATAAGTGTCCAGCCGTGCGTGGCATCTAGTTTATTATATATAAACCCTGGGTTAAAGAATGATCACCTAAATAAAGGGCGAGGAAAGCTTCATCACCACCAAATTTAATCTTTGTGTTTCAGTATGCCTTATGTCTGTTGCTGTTGGCCGGTGCGAAAATATATTTAACCGTGCTGATGTTCAACGGTGCGGATAGCGTCGGTGAACTAGTCGAAGAGTGGATCACAAAAGCATTCAATAACAATGAATTGAGAGATACCTTCCACGCTATTGAAAATACGGTATGTCTTACGCACTCGATCTTTACACATAAAAAAGTGCGTGCGTTCAAACTTCAAAGTACACATGTCAGAAGTGATACGTCTTTGTAAATTAATTATTACTAAGGTAAAAGCCCCAATAGATGATCATGTACCAGTATATGATCACTCCATCCATGTATTTGTATATCTATATTCACAATGTTTACACACTGTATACGTGCTAATGATAATATAAATAAATAAAAATCTGCGTTTACTGCACAAGACGATATCCGACAGAATTGCCATCTAATGTTCTAGCATAAATTTAAAGGCCAGCAACGCACTCGCGAGTCCTCTGGAATTGAGAGTGTCCATGAGCGGCGGTATCCTACCCATTTGCCCCTGTTCTATATTTAAAAAAAAACTACTAACGAATAGTGAATACATCAATCAATAGCGTGTATTTTTTCTCGATCTCCCCTACTCTCTTTCTCAATCTTTCTCACTATAGGTCTCTCCCACGTCTCGCTCCATGGCACTGTGTGTGATTCGACATGGCCACATGCTTCATGCTACGTTCGCCCTTTCTCACTCTCTCTTAATCGGTCTCAATCGCTCTCTCCCTTTTCTTCGACAAAAACGCTGTACATCTTCGTGACGCTAATTTGCGTTTCATCCGTAAAAATTTTACCCTCATGCACCTAAAGAAGTTTCCCTTCAACAACCTTACCTTATATTATAAAGTTTATACTTTTAACCTTTGAACGTCTTTGAATTCTATCTACTTGTTGTTTGATCACATCACCTTCGCGTACAATACATGGCATAAACCGTGCAATCTTTTAACAACTTCTCAGATAACTTTCGATTTATGTGAATCTTTGGCAATTTCGTTCAACAATCTTTACACTTATAATCTTTCAGTTCGAATGTTGTGGTACCAATGGCCCTTACTCATACATCGGTGTACTACCAGCATTACCGCCTTCATGCTGTCCAGACAATGTATCCCAGTGTGAAAGTAGTAATGCCTACGGAGGCTGTATCAACATTGTCACTGACTTCTTGTCGAAATACAGTGGTGTCTTTGGCAGTATTTTTGCATCAATATTGGCTGTTGAGGTAAGCCACCCTAAAAGGGTTTATTCCTATTTCTACTAGATGTACTGATTGACTTTAGAGCAGTTTTCCCAACGTGGGGCCCACGCCCTCAGGGGGGCAATTTGATTTTTAAGAGAGGCTATTCGAAAATTTGCGGAGAGACGATGATAACTTGGAGAAACTGATCGTGGTTGGTAACACAGAAGGCAAAAGATCACGTGGCCGTTCACCAACCAGATGGACCGATCTAGTGGAAGACTCATCGTCCTCAAAACTAAACACTGTCATAAGAGAGGCGCTGGACCGAAACCGGTGGAAACAGATATTCCGCTCCAGACGCTTTCTTGCCGATTAGAGAGAGAGATTCGAAAATTTATTAAAATTATTTAGAATTTGAATTTCAGTTTTTCATTATGATTTGAATCTTTCTTACTGTGTTTCGTTAACCATTTTCTAGTAATGTCTTTATAAAACCCATTTAAGGTACTGATGGGAACGGTTTTTTTTAATATTAAAAATGATGTATGTTGCATAAGAATTTTAAAAAGGCTAAGGGCATGGCGAAAAAAAGGCTGGGAAACACTGCTTTAGAGGATGTAGAACAATCTATGCCACGTGGTCATAACGTGGTAATACGAGAAAATGCCAATATTAGTCCCAAATATTACTTACGTGATGTAACTCATAATTCCCATAGAAAAATATTTTAGTTTGGAAGATATTTAGGGCTCTACTGTTTCAGAAAATAACGATATTATAGTTATTAGAATAATACTATACACAAAAATATGTGTAAAATGAATATGTAGGAAAATAATGTTATATTATGAATTGTTTTATAAATTATAGTCGGTTATGAGCAAGCCTCAATCTAAGTTAATATATAAGTTCGGTCTTATTTTTTTTTACAGTTTGTGGCGATGTTGTTTGCGGTAATGCTTGCATGTAACATTGGTGGAAAGAGACGACAAAACGTTTGAATCTCTTATAACAGACAACAAAAGAAACCTACTCCGTACTTAAGTTCATAGGGTCTACCATGACCTTAGCTGTACGGGTCCAGTATTAATTTAAATTGTCATTTATCGTAATTGTATCTTTATTAATGTTGTTAAGGTACATTTTACAAAAGATAAAATGTACTGTTTTCCTGCTTTGAAGCTTATGGTATCCACAGATCTCAACGTTAACTTAAAAACCAGAACTTCATATAAAGACTCCTACACACGAGCGTCATCGACACGATGGATACGAAATATGTATAACATTTTTGCATATTTGTTTGCTACCTATAAAATTACATTTGATTGATAAACAGTTTTAGAGGGAATCCTTTTTAATCTTATTTATAATATAGAGTTTTCTATTGTTTTTAATAAATATTATCACGATATTTTTATCTATTTATCGTAAGATATAATTCTAAGGTGAGTCTTTACTACAAAAACATTTATTTTAACTGTCCTTCAAAAAAAGAGCGTACCAATTCTTAAAAAGCCGGCAACGCACTTGTCAGCCATCTGTGAGTGTCCATGTTATCACTTAACATAAAAAAATACTAAATCAGAAATATAGTTTTCAGTCGACATCAAAATCTGATGCTTACAAGTAAAATAAAAAGCAAGTTAATACTTTATATATATAGCCTAAACATACATATATAAGCACTTAATAACAACGCGTAGACCGTATGTTTGCTTGCGAGGTTCCATACATAAAATGATTAAGCTGAACCGTTGACAAATCATACAAGAATATTAAGTTCATAAAGCTTTCTCTTAAATCACTTTTTATCATAAAGGGTATGATTGATTTGATAGGGTTTTACACTATGACTATCTTATGAATGTAATATTATATATTTTAATAAAAAAAATTATTATTAAATACTACTAAAATAGTACTTTTTGCGAAAAAGTAAATAAAAAAACAATGTCTAACCCTAAAATATAATAACTAAAATATATTATTAAAAGGAGTCCCTTCAAAAGTTCCGAAGATACTGGCAGCCCTTTGAATAGATGGACTACTTCTTTGTCCGAGGTAGCTGCCAGCTCTTCGGACTAACCTTTTGATTTTTCCTTAAAAAGCCTAAATAAAATAAATATTTTATCGTGTTGGCGTTTAAGACGCATGTTTTAAAAGGCTTTATTACAACAACCTGCATAAATACGATAGGAACCGGTCAGTGTGCCGTTATATACACCATCGGTTAAGGTCACTAAACTTTTATTCTGTATCTCCTATATACAGTATCCATGCTAGTATTATATTATGACTATTTCTGAAATATGACGCAAAGGACAGCCCTTGCGTTGCATTATGTTTTAATGATAACTGATAACTTGTTAGTTATAGTCAGTATAGATATAAATAGATTTTTTATTTTATGATTATTTATTTAATTTATTGTATACATAATCAGAAAAAAGAAGTTACCACCTCACATTTTATGATGTAAATAATAATCCAACTACGAATTACTTTCGAATACAATGTATTTGTATTCGTAAATCAAAGACAATTAAAACAAGGAAGAATACATTTGTATAAAAGTATGTGTTTATTTATATTAATATTTTTAAGATGTGTATTTTGTAACGATTAAAAGTTTAAATAATTTAAAAATATATCTTAATTTTTATCGTTATAGATTGTAGAATATATAGTGATTTAAATAAGTTCTATGAGAATCGCGTAGTATTAAAAAATATCTTTCAAACGTAAACCTTTAGTAAACATTTATCTTACTTCTGCTCTTGTGTTTTAAATAATAGTTAATATATATGATGCTATATTTTTTACTATTTGCTTACAATATGTATTGTTTTTATTTATTTTGGAAACATTAGTCATATGGGAGAAAGTAGAAAGCAGTTTTTTGGTAGTCTTAAACATTTAAGTATGTAATTAGCACTGCGATTTCTAGTTTTTTTCTTACTGGCGTTTAAGGAAGCATTTGAATTTCTAAGTAATATCGAAACAAAATTCCGTTGAAATTTTTGCAGTATATTTTTTAAAATGTACTAAGTATAAGTGTGTCTTTACTAGGTTGGTGGACTCATTTTCCGCACTTAGACTCATAATTGGTCCGTTGTACGTAATGTGCCTTTACTAATTCCATTCAGTAAATAAAAAGAAAGATTTAAGTATTACCAAACATTGATAATGGTGATAATAACCAATGTACATTTTGTCTGCAATGTGCAGTTCAACAAACTTTCAATTTGTTGTATAAATCTTACCACTTTTTTTTTTATTCTGACCCGACCCTTGTGGTGCGGGACCTTGCTTAATACACATATTTTGTTAAGAAATTTCCTAACATATTTTTCTATTTCTATATATTCATAAACCAGTGGGGGCCCGCCGCGCCGGCTACCTCTCGCGAGTAGGTACCCTACGCTTTTGTTGCAGTGAGTGACGCATTTCAATATCTGACTGCAGAAATCTTCCTGTTGCGATCTGAAGCTTCTTAAAATTTCGGGTAACTGGTCGGCAGATACCTTTATATCAATTTGATGCTCCAGGTCGCATCTGGAGGCTCCAAATACTGGACATTCTATAATGAGATGCATCTTAGTACTTGGGAGTTTTACATTTTTCATAAGCGTTTCAGTTATCGCATTGTTTTTTAAAAAGGAACAAACGTATGGAACTGGCGCCTGAACATAGTAAAACCATTCCATATGTTAAGTTAAATTATGTATTGAGTTTAGCGGGTCTATGTGGAACAATGTTTGTAGTATAATGTTATTACGATATTTGCAAATGTCCGTTATTCTGCGAACAGAGCCCGTGTGTGGAATTTATAATTATATATCAAATATGTAAAATTCTCGTGTCACAATGTTCGTTCCCATACTCCGAAACGGCTCGACCGATTCTTATGAAATGTTTTATGCATATTCAGTAAGACTGAGAATCGGACAACATCTATTCTTCATCCCCCTAAATGTAAATGTCCCACCCCTAAATTTTTAATTTTAATTTTTGGACAAAACTTTTGTTTTTATTTTGTTATGATACAGCATACAAAATACACCCAACCCTTAATTGTCACCCCTCTACGATGAACCCCTATTTTTAATTGTAGTAAATAGTTATTTTTATTGAACTAAAAAAAATTCCTAGAAATAATAATATACATAAAACGACGTTTGCAGGGTGAGCTAGTTATATATAAAGATATCTTCATTATAAAAGCAAATACTGGGAGTGTTTTTGTTTAGATTAATTGTACAAATTTGGTTTATACATAAACTAATTCATTCAATAGAATTTTTATTAGTAATCATAACAATCAAATATACAGTATTTAAAATTTTCTCAACCTACATAGTAATAATAAAAATAATTAAAAATTAATGAAACGAAAATTAGAACAAATTTTTAGTCCCTTTGGCAGTATACCTTTAATGTTGAAAGCATTTTTCCTTGCTGTATATTTATTCGTTGAGCGAGGAAAGCACCAGCTTTGGGGTCGCCGGTACGATCTACTAGGCGCCAACTTAAATCTTTAATTAGCGCCTGTGCACTTGAACCCCACGGCCCAAGAGTCTCTACTCCAAAGGGAACTAAATTGAAGTTGGATAAAAGACTCTTATATTTGAGCCGTTTATTATTTTCCGCCTGCTCTGCGGCCCCAGCTTTTTTCCTTGTCCGAGGGAGGTGAGACGGGGCAAGTATTTTAATTAACTAGAAAATACTACGTAAGTAGCTCATTTGTTTGCGCATCGTCTCAGCTATCATTTGTTTACCACTGGAATAATCCCGAAACAGTTCTACGAAAAAAAGGAAACGAATCTATCAAATTGTTAGACCTCACGAAATCCATTTATATCATCCCTCAAAAAAGCAGTTATATTAAATACGGCAAGAATAACCCACAAATTTCTACAAGTTAGTAACCCATAAAATTGTGTGCAACAGTGTACCAGTATTTATTAATATTTCGTGATTATTGATTATTAATTCAATCCTGAGATAAATTATACAGTTACCAAACATAATAATAAAAACATGCAATATTATAAACAATATTATACAAATTAATTCTACGAAAATATTGTAATAACTAATAATGATCGCCTACTTGTCAAAAAAACCCTATATACCCCTTGTATAAAATCCCATAGAAAAACAAACTCTTTACTGTGTAAAAGATTCATAATCGCGCCTTATAAAGGGAGCTTTACAATACTCCATAAAAATACAAACTCACGACTCAAGACCAGAAAGTAATAAACATTAAAATATTGTATATGGATCCCTCACGAATAAAAGCCTCGTCCAAGGCATTTCACAAATTTCTATTTTTAGCTATCTCGCAACTTTGTCTGTCCTGCCTTGCGATTCTGTAACTCACTTTTCGAACTCTCACAGCGGTTTTCGCAGCGGCGGTCGCGCTCATATAAGTCGTGAAGCAGTCATTTTATGATTTGGCATTCTGATAAGGAGGGAGCTTGTAGTTTATTGTTTGAGCTGATTTGAGCGCGCTGTGAAAACCGCTGTGTGAGTTCGAAAAGTGAGTTACAGAATCGCAAGTCAGGTCGAAGTCTCGCATCTCGATCTTGGGGCCCATTTTACTAGTCTATGTGTCCATGTCGTCGTTGTACTTGGCCACGTTCAACCCATTTCCATTTTCTTTGAAGGGAGAAAGTTAGTTCATCAGTGATCTTTGTTCTTTTCGGATATCTGAATTTCTTAATTTGTCCTTTTTTTTACAGAACAGGGGCAGGAGGCTCACCTGATGTTAAGTACCGCCCATGGACACTCTCAATGCCAGAAGGCTCGCGAGTGCATTGCAGGCCTTTTGCTTGATGCCAAGGTTCAAACTTCTTCTTTGGGTTGTCTGGATTTAGTGTTTCTTTCAAAATCACTTACTAGAATTAATCAGGATTTTAACATTTAATATTCAAGAAGATTCAAAGATTCAAAGCCTTTATTTCAACTAATACAAGAGAAAGTTTACAAATAT